AATAGAGGAAGTGAATGAGAGCCATAGGCACAGCATATAAAGTGTGGTCTTAGTTTTATATTGCAGTCAGCATCATAGCCTGAAGCAAAACAAATCAGCAAATAGCCTAGCTCAGTTCTGGGAAGTAAATAGGTCTATCTCCCCATGGAGCAGTGTATATTTACCCAACTAGTTCATTCCATCATCTAAAGGCATTCTTGAGTTCTGATTTGATGGTCATGAAAGGCTTCAGGTACATCTTTCCACAGTATTCACCTTTTCCCATTCATGTATAAATATTAAGATGGAGTTTTCAAACAAACATTAAGGTGTGGAGGCCATGCCTATCATGAGTATCCTGGATCCATTGTAATTTCAGGGTTATTTTGCTGGCATTATTGTCTAGAAAACAGTCTGGTGGGGCCAAGGGTAGGGAGATCTGATGTATTATCACCCTATGGCCCTGTCAGGAGCAAGGACAAGATGAATGCCATTGACTAATCCACCATTATAGCCCTAGCAAAGGCATTTACCTCCACAGCAGCTTCAGCAGTTACTGACAGGGGGCAATGTCCACTATGGATAAAAGGTAGCTTGGGCTAGATCTCTTGCTGTACTGATGGAGGATGTTTTCCAGCCTTAGACACCTCCTCTGTGGTAGTGGAAGGCCAGGCCAGCATTCCTGTGATGTCATCTTTTCAAGCAGAAGCCTTGACCTATTTGTTTCCAGGGTAGATATAGATACTTCTGTTTATTTTCAGCTGACATCATCAGTGGCCTCTTAAATAGTTGCAATGAGATTACTCCGACATGGTACAAGCTTTCTGGTAATTTTTGCCTTTGATATTTAGAAGTACTTGAAACTGAAAAATGATTTTGAACAGTTCAAAGTTCAGTGTGTCAGAGAAATAGAAGACATCTTGTGTTATTTAAATGCAATCGAATTTAATCATTTTAAAAGGTGGTAATAAATATTTGAAACAATGTCACCTGTAGGTATGATTACATAGACCAGAGTGTCATGATACTCTTCTCCATTTTCTTAACTCCTAAATCCTCTCTGCCTTTTCTCCTATGATGTTCCCTGGGCTTTCAGAAGGGGGTGATACAGAGGTCCCATTTAGGGTTCAGAGCCCATCATTCAAATGTTCTTAGTACTTTGATAAGATATGAGTCTCTGTATTAATTATAAGCCTCTGAAAAAGTAATTTTTTTGTCTCAGGCTGAGAGCAGCACTAGTCTATGGGTATAAGGATGAACAATTACAAAATGACTTGACTACATATTCAATTAGATAAATAGTGGTATTCTGTTGTCTTTTAAGCTTATGTCTTCCCTCACTCACAATAAACTTCTGAAAATGTTCATAGTACCAGAAATACAGTATTTACAGTATTTCTTATGAAGTAGGCATCAAATCAAATCAATAAGTGGTTGGTTATTATCCTAATATTCTTGCCACAATTGCATCAGTGGACATATCCAGCTTGGCAGGTTATTATTATAGTAGGTATGGTTAATGCTTTAGTTTGGCTTGCAATGAGTTTTCTAGCCAACAACCTGCAAAACACACTATAGCTGTGAAACTATAAAACCTATCCAGCCTGGAAGGAGTTTGTATCTTAGTACCAACTCAATTTCTCTGTGTCATGTATCCAAAATTAGCAGTGTCTTCAGAAATGAGATCTTACCATCTAGTTATGGTCGGCAACCAAGAGTAACAATGATAATACCCTGTTTTCCTTTTGGAGCCTCTTGGATTTCTCTAGCCAACAATTCATAGAAGGCATTTTGCACCTGGCCCTGGGGTTCTTATTGAAAAGGCTATGACTTCTGGGAGCAGTATAATAGCTCCTTTTTACTTTGGTATGTTAACTTGACATATGGTTATCTTTGAATTTATTGATTTTCCTTCTCATGTATTAAAATTTATTGTCTATTTACACACTGTTTAATCAAGTTTTGAATTGCATTTCATGTCATTTCAAATAAACTTTGCCTTGCTTATAAATTGAAATTACCTATTAAAATAATGGGGATATGGTGCAAAGATAAACTGATCACTGGGAGTCTAGCTAAAATAGCTACATTTACAACACAACTCTTGCATCTAAGACTCAAGGAACATCACAGAAGGCTGATTTAAAGTTGATTTTAAGAGCTGGTACTCTACTCTTTCCCATTCTAGCGCCAGCATCATCTTCTTACGTAGTTCCAATCTAGTCCGTAATACTGATGGTGATGGTCTGAGTGAATGGATTTGGCTATATTGGTTGCCTGGTTACCAGGGTTACCTTCAGCTCTGGCCAAGTGGATATTTTTGCCGTCAATGACACATTCATTGACCTCAAATACATGGTGTTTATGTTCCTGTAGGACTCTACTCATGACAAATTCCACAGCATAGGTAAGGCTGAGAATGGGAAACTTGTCATCAACCAGAAGGCTATTGCCATCCTACCAACATCAAATGGGGTAGTACTGATGCCAAATATGTTGTGGAACCTCATGTATCTTTACCACCATGGAGAAAACAAGGCCCACTTGAAAGTTGAACCAAAAGGGTCATCAACTCTGCCCTTTCTGCTGATGTCCCCATGTTTGTGATGGTTGTGAACCACAAGAAGAATGAGAACTCACTCAAGATTGTTAGCAACGCTTCCTGCAACATCTACTAGTCTCTCTGGGGAAAGTCATCCATGAGAACTTTGTAATTGTGGAAGGACTCCTGACCACAATCCATACTATCACTGTCATCCAGAAGACTGTGGATGGCCCTTCTTGGAAGCTGTGGTATGATGTCTGTGGGGCTGCCGAGAACATCATCCATGCATCCACACATCCACTGGTGCTGCCAAGGCTGTGGTAAAGGTCATCCCAGAGCTAAAGTGGAAGCTCACTGGCATGACCTTCCACTGTTCCTACCCTTAATGCATCTCTCACAGACCTGACATGAAAAAGGCTGCCAAGCATGAAGACATCAAAAGGTGGTGAAGCAGGCCCACTAAAGGGCATCCTAGTCTACACTGAGGACCAAATTGTCTTCTGCAACTTTAATAGTGACATCAACTCATTTTGGTTTTGTTTATAAAGGCACCAGTTTGAAAGGATTAATTTGTAGTGATTTCTTTAATATGCAAACCATTCTGTGTCATAAGTACTATTAGTATCTGCATTTTACCAATGCATGTAACTAATCAAAGGAAATTATGTTATCAACTTGAAAATGAGAAAGGTTCAAGGGAGAATAACAGGGAAGGTGGTGAGGGGGAAAGGGATGTAAATCTATTTCTTTTAAAAAT